TGTACTCAATGGGAGATTGTGTCCTATCGGCCGTGTTGACCCTGCTTGCAGGTAACACGCTTGTTGCATATATACAGTCAGACACTGACACTCCGGTTGAACTGATGGGTGCCGAGCTGTGGGTAGTGACATAGTTGTTTTGCAAAGTTTGCAGGGTGTTATTCTGGCTGCTTGTCTCAGGCTCAGCTCTGCTGTGAGCTGGGTTTTGATGGGATAACACGCCCGTTGGGCCATGGCCCGGCGTGCTGGAGTCCAGTTTGTCCACCAGCTGTGCTGTGATCTGTTGTAAATCTTGCAGCTGTTGCTGGAGTGTCTTCATGGTCAGTTTGGGTTTGTTGGGAACCTTGCGAGATGGTGGTGTTATCTCGCCTTCAGGTGTTGCCCCGTCGGTCGGTTGCGGGGGACCCAGTTATTCTCGTCTCCCCGCTACGCGGGCGCTCTTTCGTGGTGGCGACATAACTAATACTCAAAAGAAAGGAAATTGTTAAGATGGTTGACCATGAATTAAAATGGGTTTCGCTATGTACGTTGTGGTTCATGGAGTCAATCACTGTACCCACCCACATACACACTGTACCCACCCACATACACACTGTACCCACCCACCCACTTGCCCACCCACAAACACACTGTACCCACCCACATACACACTGTACCCACCCACCCACATACACACTGTACCCACCCACATACACACTGTACCCACCCACATACACACTGTACCCACCCACATACACACTGTACCCACCCACCCACACACTGTACCCACCCACCTACACACTGTACCCACCCACATACACACTGTACCCACCCACCCACGTACCCACCCACATACACACTGTACCCACCCACGTACCCACCCACATACACACTGTACCCACCCACCCACGTGCCCACCCACCAACATACACACTGTACCCCCCACATACACACTGTACCCACCCACACACGTGCCCACCCACATACACACTGTACCCACCCACATACACACTGTACCCACCCACATGCACACTGTACCCACCCACCCACACACTGTACCCACCCACATACACACTGTACCCACCCACATACACACTGTACCCACCCACATACACACTGTACCCACCCACCCACACACTGTACCCACCCACATACACACTGTACCCACCCACATACACACTGTACCCACCACCACACACTGTACCTACCCACATACACACTGTACCCACCCACATACACACTGTACCCACC